GAATAGGATTGCATATTTAGTATAATTTGAATAAGCAAATTTGTCTTAAATGTTTTCTAATGAGCAATTAGCCAAATAAGATATGTTTGCATTTTAAATATATGAAGAAATGAAACAAGCTTCATTAATAATCATTTTTTCTGGAGTTGAGTCCATCCCCCCCTTTTAGTGCTGCTACTAGAAGTATTTAAAATAGAAATTATGTCAATTGCCAATGAATAAAACAGTTTATTCTCTACACATGTGAAAAATGCTGTTTTAAGGAAAATCTAAAATATACGAAAATATGCACCAGGTATGCAGGAGTGGCCAAACTGTGACTTAGAAAAAGCAATGCATCCAGAATAGATAACTTTCCCTCTTTTTTCTTCCCTTTTCTTTAACTGGAAGAGGAAACAGGAATCAAGCCAGGAAAAACAGATGGAGCTGGTAATTTGGAAAGTGTGTGTGCGCGCGCGCGCGCGCGTGTGTGTGTGTGTCAAGGTGGAACTTTGGGTTCAAGAAACAAGAGAGAGGCAGTTATTTTGGGATTCATCTTATCGGCTATACACCTGCTCTTAAGTTTTGCACTGTTTATCATCCATGTAAGTCGGTACTCACTGGAGAAGACCCTAATGCTGGGAACAACTGACAGCAAAAGAAGGGGATGACAGAGAATGAGGTGGCTATATGGAGTCACTGAAGCAGTCAGTGTGAGCTTAAGTGGATTCCAGGGGATGGTGGAGGACACAAAGGCCTGGAGGAATGCTGTCCATGGGGTCGCAATGGATCGGACACAACTTGGCGACTACCAACAACAGCAAGCTGGAGCGACACAGTAACTAAACTCGTGAGCTATGATATGGAAGGACCTGGTTTAATAATTGACAGACTATCCATGAATTCATTTGCTGGCTGCAGACAAACCACTGTCTCCCAGCCTTTCTCAACAGTTTGTCAATCCTGCCATACAGGGACAGTACTTTGTAAAATTTTGTAATGCATTGAGCAGAGCTAGAACGAGGGGTTTTGTGAGATTTTTTTTTTTAATGGAGAAATGTAATCTACCATACTTTAGTTACTCAAAAAGTATGAAAATAGAGCATTTTCACACTGAAATGGGGGGAGGGGAATCCATACTTAAGCTTAATCCAGCACAAAGCAAGCCACACTATGCATGATAGTTCTGATATCCCAACACACAGTCAAATCAATCTTAGGTATATTTTCACAGCATGTATTTAATTCCTATTGTTGCAAAACTGAAATCTGATTCCATCATACACATGCACAAAATTAATACAATACAAAGAGACAGTCCACTTGAAATAAAATGACTCAGAATATCTCTTAAAATCAATGAATGTTCTTATTGTCAGATAATCTGAAATTGCTTACTTTTTGTACTGCTGAAATGTTCCCAAATCCTTAGTGAATAAACATGTTTTAATTTTACTAATTTAAATAAAGCATTCTTCCTGTTCTCCACTTCCTTTAGCCATCCTCAACCCTTTCTTCTGGCTTCACCGAACCCCTCCACATGATCCTCCTTGATCTTATTCCCTGCTGACTGATAAATGCTTCTTTCCCTGCCATTATCTTCAACAGGCTGGGGGATAAGAGCTGGCCCTTTAAGGAATCTTACTTTTCAGGCCAAGGAAGTGGAGCTTTGTAGGGATGCAGTGGAAGGAGGGGCTCATAAGGCCTCAGTTCACTTCACTGGAGTAAGTTGTACACTTTAGGTTTTCTAGATGTACACTTGTTAAGCTTCCTTGCTAGATTACACTACCTATCCTATTAGCAATGTTAATCAGACACATGCATAGATCAATCACTTCCAACCCTTAGTTAAAATCAAGCATATTTTTCACCTCCATGAGCACAGTGAAATGGTGTACCTCATTTCTATTTTTATCATTACTGTTATACTATTAGTCAGTCAGTCATTACACTTGCATAATGTCTAACAGCCAAAACACCCTGGATGTTTTACAAAGATAAATACCCTTAAAAACAATATGATGGAATAACATAAACCATTATAAAAAATACACTTGGTATAATATCAATGCTCATTACTGTATGCTCCACAGTGTTTACAATGCCTAATTCAACACCAGAAGAAAAAACAGAAAAGAGCATTAAACAAAGACAAAGATAGTTGAGGGAATAAAATTATTTATTTCAATTGCATGCACTTAGTTACATATAAAGTATAGCAACAGTAGGGAGTGGGGATTAACAGGTTGTTCCAAAGGCTTCCCCAAAAAAGGGATTTTATGGACAAGGATACATAGGGGTATAAGAGTAGAGAGATAACAGCACAAATTCCTTGTGCTTACTGTCAGAGTCCCCATGGCTTTTGCTCACTTCCCCAGTATGATCAGTGAACAAGAGAGGTGAATGATTTTGGTAGAAGAGCACTAGAAAAAGATTAGAGTCTGAGATAACTTGGTAAGAGAGCAAAGAGGAAAGCCTGCAGTAATGAAGGAAAGCAATGATCACTGGATGAACCAGAGTTCTTTACCAAGGAGAGAAGGGGAAGAGGATAGCTTGTACTTTTGCAGTATTGTAGAAATAAGAGACATGACTTGGCAGACTAAGGGAATGTAGAGAGCAAAAGAAACAAACAGCAAAGATAAAGCAAGAGCTCCGTGCCTGCATTCAACAGGGAAGCTGGTGACAATATCTATGGAAAAGACAGTGTATGAGCAGAGGGGGGTCTTGGAAATAGCAACAAACAGCTTGGTACTAAAAATACTGATTTTGGCTGTGGAAATATTCACATGGAAATATTCTGAATCTCCATGGAAATGTCTCATCAGATGAATGGAGAAGGTTCCAGGGTACAGGGATTGAGGACAGTTGCAGAAGAACAGAAGGTACTTATACCTCAAGTAAATCAGGCTTGTGGAATAGCATCCACAAGAGTCATTGCTTGAGTTCCAAGACTACTGATGCAGCATCCTCCTTTGCACTCAAGACAAATACAGAAGCTTTGATTGTTGCCGGAGATGTAACAAGTTTTGAAGCAAAGATTTAAAAAAAAAAATTTACTAGGATTTTCCAGATAAAAGCAGATCTGAAGGGAAATTAAAATACATGCAATACTATTTGCTGTACCAAATCTAAACCTATTTTATTGCTCCAGCAACATAAAATGCATAATTGGTAATATAGCAGATACCATTATACTCTTTGGCATATTTATTTACAGAGCATGGTTTAGTGGACCAGTCCAGAAAGTCTTGCAGGGCTTTTTGTATCAGGCTGTCTATATCACAGTTGTTTAAGGGAAGACTAAAACAAACAAACAAACAAACCAAAACCAAAAAAAACAGAAAACAAAAAAAATCTACCACAAGCAAAGTACTGGGTCAAAAGTACAGCAGACATAGGATGCTTGCTTTTAGTATCTCCAAACAAGAAGAGAGCTCATGAGTAGAAATCCAACAGAAGCTCACAGCCAATTAAACCCTGCATGCTCTTCTCATGAAAATGACAGCACCTTCTAGAACTAGAAACATGACTGGAATCTCTGTGTGTACTGTACATATACACCCCACACTTCCTAATACTGTGGGTTGTATGTCAATGCATTCTAAAACCTTGCCTTAAAAACCATTTCACCCATTCTAAAAGGGGGGGGGGTCAGTGTTCTCCCAAACTTTCAGGGACTAGTAAAGTTATGAATTTGTATCTCAAGTAATCCGATGTTTTCCATATGAAAGAGAGTGAAGCTGAGTTAGTGAAGTATATTTGAAATGCCTAAGCCTTTGTTTGTTTGATTAAAATACATGGTCTGGGATGTTAAAATGTATGAGATTTCTTTGAAGGGACCAAAAGAAAACAAAGGTTTGGGGAATCTTAAATTTCCTTTCACTTGGTGTGAGGGGCAGGTGCTGTCTAAAATTAGAAAAGGCAAGCAGTGAGAAGCATCATATCGCTATTGCTATTCCCAAATTCTTGCTTGAAGCGAAGAGGCTTATGGTGCAAGAAACAAGTGCAGATAAGGGAACTTGAATTCTCCCCTTTCGCCTTTAAAAAAAACCTTCAAAAAAAAAAGTGTATTGAACAAGAATGGGTTGCTCAAGTGTACTCAAATAACCATCCATCCACAATCAAATTCAAGTTGTGCAACATTGCAGGGCAAGT